ACTGCTGAGATGGAAACATGCTTAATAATAGATTATGAAAAAGACATGGTGAAAARTTCCAGTTTAGATGGAGGACTTTAGTGCCAGATTGTGCCCTGGGATTCCAATGCATATCTTCCATTAAAGCCATTAAAAATGTTTGCATTTCAAGGAAGAATTTGGACTTTTGACACAATTCTCTCTTTTTCTTTGGGAGCCAAACATTTTCTGTGGTAACAGAACATATTATAACAAGAATAAATATAATGCATTCAGGCATTAAAATGAATAACAGTCCTTGATCTATTTGCTGAAGATTACAGGCATGAGATGTGAAAGCTGTTAGTGGTTTGAAGGAAGATATTTGCTGTAATTGGCACTGCAGCTTTGGTTTTATTGCAAAATATGAAGGAGATGACCAGAGAGTAGTCCAGATCCTCACATTCTATGGAGAGATTACAGTGAATCTCACGATCATAACTTTGCCAGTGGTTTGCTGCTTTTTGAATTAAGAGATCCTAAAATCTCAGGGTAATGTATTCACCACACATGAGATGTTGTCTCCTATTCCAGAGAGCTTAAAATCTCAGTGGTGAGGGTGTATGGCTGCGTGGATGTGGGAAATGTTTCCTGTGCTGTGTGAATTAAAATGCCATTTTATGAATGGAACACTTCTTTTTGCCTCAAACCCTCAACCMTTCAATTTCTGTATTGTTTCAAAGTGGAGTAGTATAAATATGTAGAGAGAAATTTTGTCCTCCTGAAGGGAGATAACTCCCATCTTTCTCTCCCTCTGCAAGTGTTTGGGGCAGGCTGTTTCCATTCCTTTCCTTCAGAAATGAAAGCATCTGCCTGCCTGTCTCCAGCTTGTGTTTCTTCCCTGGGAAATGGGGAAAGATGGAGCTCAACTCAGGAGTTTTTGAGGTTTCTGTTGCCTCCTGCTCCTCTGGGACTTGCAGAGGACCAGCTGGAAGTGTAGATCCCAGTGGTGATGKCACTGATGTTTTACAGGAACATGCCTAGCATCCTCTGAGCCCTGAGGTCAAGATAAACTTCCTAGATGGGCTACCATCTAGTTTGGTGTGAAACCTTTAGGAATTTGTGTGGTGGCAGATTCCACCAGAAACTTAACTTGCTTTAGAGGCTGTTTRTCAAAATTGATTGTTCTCCACAAGTACAGAATGCTGTTTCAACAAAGCTGACTTCTTAAAAAAAAGTCATTGTCCATCTCATCAGAGAGTTGTTGTGAACAAACATTGTTTTTAACCTTCCTATTCCTTTACAAATAAGGCATAGATAAGTCCTGGTGTGTATTTCCTTAGGATGCTGTGAGTATCTTCTGATTGGTCTCCTGTAGGAAAAACTAACATGTTACATTTTTGGCTGTTGAATGGGCCAAGGGGCTTTGCCTGCAAACACCAGCCACAGCTAGCTAGGGTGTGGTTTCCAATGATTTAAATTCTTATAAAATGCCAGCAGAAGTTGAAACAAGGAGGAGGAGGGGATACAGCAGTGGAATGGTTGTTTTGGTGACTGTAACCTCTGGGGGACTGCTCGCTGTACAGAGCTGTCTGCTCAAGGAAATATTTGGAGGTAATTTTATAGTTCTGAGAAGGGAGGGGTAAGACCYTTACTTCTTGCTGATAATTGTTCAAAAGGTTTGAAATGCTTGCARTCCATTCCAGAATTTATTTAAACCTCTAGATAATTTTCTGATCTGTGGAAGCRGTGAGCACCTCTGAATMCAGCAGCAAAGTTTGTCTCAAAGCWGACAAGTGAATGAATGCTTGAAGAGTCTGTGGAGATGGCTTCATCTTGTCCTCTCTCCTCCAGATCTCCAGTGTACCAGACAAACCATTTTCCCTTGATGTTACAACCCATGTAGCTGCTGTACCAAGTCATGTTTAATGGTGGTACTTAGTACTCTCTGAGTATTTTCTGGTTTTTATTTCTTCTGGTTACTCTTAGCTTCACTGAAGTTCAGCTGGTCAAAGAATCAGTTGTACCCAGATGGATTTAAGAAGCAAGAACACACAGCAGAGATTAATGAACTTTATTTAAAATAGGACCAGTCAGTTCTTTTCCTTATTAAAGAAACAGATTSTGGCAGAAAGCTGGGATGTTTCTTTTCTGTAAAGAAGATCTGGCAGCAGTCATACCTTCGCTGGTTCCCCTCCTCTCCTTTTGTCAGTGTGATTGCATCTGCATTAGCAAGCTGTGCTTTTCATTCCAAAGCGATGAAAGGGGACAACAATCAATTACAATGCTTCTTAAGAAGTCTCCAAATCTTATCAGATCTCACATTTCATCCTGGCTGCTCTTTCACGTCATTCTTTTACTATTACTATAATTGCCACTCAAAATTTATTTTGCTGCTGTTGCGCACCTAGCACTTGCAGCTACTGTGGAGAAGGAGCGTGAAGGCAGAAAGCAGAGATTCTTTCTCTTCCCTTTTTGTAAATTCCTATTGCTTGGGAAATTCCCAAACTCACAACCTCCCAAGTTTCTGGAAAGAGCAGCTCTCTATGTACTCCGAGGTACTGTTACACCGTTAAAAATGGAAATCTGATGCTGCTTCTTGTGGGGTGGATGGGAAGGAGTTGAGAAAGGTGGCGGCTTCAGCCCGGCTGTCTCGTGATGCTCGAATGCCAGGAGCAGAAAACAACGTAACAAATATCTCAAAATGCAGCCACCTACCACTCTTTTATTTAAATTCGAGAATATGAGCCAAACTCACTGTTGACATAAGCAGATGCAAAACTAATGAAGTCACTGMATTTACTTCTACTCATGCCAGAGGTGAATTTGTCCCTATTTTTGGAACATGCTAGTTTTGTGCTACAGCACTGGCACACTGCATCATGTCAAAATCCTTTTGAGCAATGGCAGTGTGCCACTGGCTGAGTAACGTGATGCATCATGTCCAACATCTGCCTGATAATGGTCCTGATCTGCTTTTTGACATGATGCATCACACCACTAGTACCATGCTTGGAGGCATCTGATAGGAATCCTGTCAGGATCTGKCAATAAGAAATGTGTGCTAACTGAATATTGGAGCATTTCGGCATTTTGTGGAAAACAGTGATCACTGTGTTCGTGCATTTATAAATCTCTTGCAAATGCCTCGTGTACTTGGGTGAAAAATGATCACTAATGTACTCCCACTTCAATGTGTCACATTAACATAATAAATGATAAATCATTTTCTATTTTGGTCTGTTCTGCTTTAAGGACCGATATTGGATTTTCTCCTAAAAACGATCAATTGATATTGAAAGAGTTTGTTTCTATTTACGATTCTACAGGCTTGTTTTCTTGCTGTTATTAAGCGTAGGAGGGTTTTGTTCTGGGTTTTTCGGGTTTCATTTTTTATATATACTACCACCAGGCCTTCTTTCTTGTTGCATCTGAAAGCGTTTTACCTCAGACGGAACGGTGCTGAACATCTTCCCTAAAACAGGAAACATGTTTCACAATCCTCCGCGGCGAGCGGCACAAGGCTCCCGGGGAGGATCTGCGCGGGTGGAGAGCAGCCAGCCGTCCAAAGGCGAGGGGGCCGAGTGCCAGGAGACAGAACGGCCAGAGGAATGCCTGGAGGCAGCCCGGCCATGTGCTTGCGGTGAAGCGCTGCAGGTCAGGAGCAGGCGAGGGGCCAGCAGCAGCGAATTTCAGAAGGTGGTGCTTGTTATTGCCGGCCCCGACTCCTGCGAGCGCCGCTGGCCGGGTGATGTCCTGCCTTAGGCTTTCTGCACTGGGAAATGAGGGAGAAGGGCTTTCTAAAATCAATAGCGCCCAGATAAGCAGAGATCTGTGATAGCTATCAGCCCTCCGATTTTCTGTTTTGACAAAGAAACCCATGCATTTCGCATAACAAAGTGAGTGCTGSAAGTGCATTGTACCCTTGCAGAAACTTCGGTGTGACTGCAAAGGTGAGTGCTTCAGGCTGRATCCATACAAAATGCAACAGGAACAAGTTATCAGGGTGCTAGTTAAAAATTACGTAGCTACCTTAAAATCTGTATGCACAAAACTTGAAAAAAAAGAGAAACTAAACGTCTGCAGGAAATTGGATCTTTGTTCAAAGTACTGCAGTTGAATGTTTTGGAGAAATGCTTTCTGCAAACAGGGAATCCTACTGRGGTCAGACACAGCTATTTTAACCTTGTGTATTCATCTAACTGTTCTGGCCAAGGAGGTGTATCTGTGCTTGTGTGTATATACATACAAAGAGAGAAGGAGAGAGTATAAACTTAAAATTTTTGAWTGAAGTCTTCAGTTTCTCGCTACTATTAAATATAGGTAAACTTCAAAACAAATTTTGTGAAAAAGAGACTTCAAATAATTCACTTTAGACCTAATGAGAAGAATACGAGAATAAACCCTTCCCAGGCTCATAAGCTGGGATAATGCTAACAAGGCGTAGTCTTTTCCATGTGAGGAATGGTATCGAAAGCCTCCAAAGCGCGGCACTGCAGCAGGGCAGCTTGCTGGCAGAAATGTGCGCACAGAAGCAGGCCAGGAATAGATTTGAATACAACTGAAGTCATTACAGCCAGATCTTAGTTTTCTGTGTATTTTTCAAGCAGAGAAG